CATCCAATGTCAATATTTAATCCAGTAAATTTGTCACCTTTTTTTTTTAATTCGACTCCTGATTTTTATTTTAACATGAATTTCCCCTTCATTTATATCCTTTTGCCATCGGGTTAATGTAAAAATAAAGAATATGAATAATTTGTATATATACATGTATAAATAAACTGCATTCATATTTTCATTTGTTTTCTTTAGATTTGTCAAACATTCCAAACAAAGGTTTTCCATTCTACAAAAATGTATGATGACTTATAAAATAACTAAACACTCCAATCTTAACAGTAGGCATCGGGCAATAGAGTTAATTGGCACCGATCTTCAACTCCTTCGCCACTTTGTGAAGTATAACCTTTTCTAACGTTGTTTTCGCATGCGTCGAATTTGAATTTGAGATACTCTTTGAATTATGATTCAGAAAAACCTTTTAAAAAATTAATTTAAAAAAATCCCCAATCCTATGGTGGCCCCCAGGATGTAAATTCACTTGGTTTTGACATGGATGCACATTTTCTGTTTGCTAGCACTTTCTTATTAGATTACATTTCTCATGCTTTTTAACTTTGTCACACGAGGGCTGACTTCTAAGAATGAACACCGGTGTTAATGTGCTAATGTAGGTCTTCATTTGAGTAGAATATGACAGTTACTACTATGGAAAAGCACCTCTAGGATCTGATTTTCGCCAACAGTTGTAATGTTACTTAAACCTTTGAGACTTGTGCGTTTTGTAGATGAACATGCATTCGGCATTTTGATCAGACTTAATTGTCCTAGTGGCACTATATATGAAGAATACAGTTTTAACAGTAATCATGGCTCAACATAAAAACATATCGTGTGCATTTTGTTTTGTATTTTTGGCCATTTTATCTGTTAATTTTTTGGGGCGGATTCATTGGAATCCCTTTTTCTGCTACAATGTCTATCCATTTATAGTTTTGTAGTGCACGAGAACTTGTACGTTAATTGACAGATTTGGGGTGTATATCAGTCACTGAAGGTCTGTTTTTGAATACATGTACTATGTTTTGCTAACATTAAAAAATATTTTCAGTGCATAATTATTGTCTATAATATTGATCATTTTCATATTGTTAGCAATCACCAGGAGTCTATGATGAGACCGTAGCTTCAGAGGTTTGAACCTCTTACATTCTAGGGGAAAACTTTTTGTCGATTCTGACTTTTTTGTTAAATAATATACAGAAGGGAACACCATTTTGAAATATTTTAAGAAGAGTAGCATTCAACATTGATAAAGATTAATTACAAGCGTGTATTTTGATATCATCTATTTGAGTAGGGGAAAAACCAGGGTTCTGGACCAGTGTCCTCCCATAGAGTTACTATGGAGGATCCTCCTGGTATCCTCCCAGCGTGTGAGGATACCCATGACGTCATCTAACGAATTAAATTAACAAATTAATTATGAAATATTAATTAAAATTAATTATATTTTGATTATTAATTACATAATTTTTGAAACGATATGATTCTGTCATGTGTAGTCGGAGTGTCAATTAAATTAATTATATAATTATACACACTAGTAATCTCAAAATGTTTCAAACGCATTCGATTCTAACACAGATTCAATTCAACTAAGTTTAGAGTAACTTTCAAAGAGTTAAGGCTTTTATGACATTATGTAACCATTTTCATTAATGATATTATTTTTCCAAAAAGAATCATTTGAATTAGTCTCCCTATATCATAGAGTAGCCAACAAAGGTGTTATAGATAGTCCTCGCCAACAAAGGTGTTATAGATAGTCCTCGCTTACAACAATAATTGATTCAAACACAATCATGAGTTGCACTAACAAAATTTGAATCAGTGACAAGAGACAACATTTATTTTTTAATTAGATTTTTATTTTCCCCGTTACAATTATGAAGCATGGGTTGGAGAGCCATCCCATGTCCATTTTACAATGACCTACAGCCTAGTCTATAATGTACAATACATTTATTTACACTATGAGAGTCGTCTACCATCCATCATATCATACTTAAGCGATCTGTGTTTATGTACGCTCTTTCTGAAAAGATGGAATCTGATGTTTGACCTGTCCAGGGTAGTGCACTCTCCTATATCATAGATTTGAAACATCAGACGCATTGATCCAAGAATTAAATTTCTTTGGATAATAAAACCATTTGATGAAATATTGTTTGTTATTTCCCTTTCCTCTAGTCTTTAATATTTTTTCAACTTTCCATAGATCATCGTCTTTCACATCCACTCTTTGAAGTTCTGATTGATAAAAAGATCCTTTGATTTCATCTCCGTCAAAATCCTCTACTCTGTAGACAGGTAAACCACCACGTAAAATCCTCTGAGAAATGATAAATATTTCACCCGTCCACCTTTCGTCATATTCGCGAGAAAATGGATTCCTGAGATGGGTAAGTCGAACGTGGTCACCGATTTTAAATCTAAAAGGTTTTCTTACAGTCTTCGTCTTTTTAATAACTGTGTGATCCTTTGGCCAATACATTTTCCACCACACAGCTGTTTCATTTCCACTGTTGACAATTTTAGGAGTCATACCGATAGTTCGGTGATATGTGCTATTGTAGCTTTTGACAAAAGTTTGAAGTTTTTCAATATATGCATACGACTTTTGGTAAGTCATAAAACGATATATCCTCGTCTTCATAGTTTTGATGACCCGCTCGGCAATTGCTGCTTTGGTTTCATTCTGAGCATAAAGATGTTGAACATCATGATCTTTGAAGAGTCTCTGAACTTCCTTCGCTCGAAATTCCTGTCCTTTATCTGTTCGTATTCTTTTAGGTACTCTACCCTCCTTGAAAATGTCCTCTAAAGCAATGGCTACTGTAACCCCCTTTTTGTTTTCCAAAGGACGCATCCACAGGTACTTTGATAGAACATCGATCACGACCAGTACATACATGAATCCTTCGTTGTACTTGGCAAACTTGGCCATATCCATGAGATCTGCAGACCACTGGTCATCAATACCCGTCACCATTATTTTGTTTCGTTGAAAACGTCTCCGTAGTGGTCTTTGTAAGCTGTAAGCTTCTTGTCTTTGCAACCATTTCCTAATTTTGTATTTGCTAATTACATATTTACCGTCTTTTCTCACATACCGGAATAATTTGTCTGGTCCCAGAAAACTACCAGCATTATTTGGATTGTAATAAATGTCACGTAAATAGTTCTCCCAAGACATGTTTCCTCGTCAATCTCCAGCGGTAAAATGAAATAAAAGTTCTATATTACATAAATTTATGGAGGACAATTTATTCACCATTTTCATCCTCGGTTTCATCTTCAGAATCTGTGTCATCATCTTCATCATCTGTTTGTTCATCGTCTGTTAAATACATCATCTCCTCAAGGAGATGTTTGTACTTCCTGAGAGCCATACGAACAGCCGGTAAGTTTTCATATCCCTTTTTAAGGAACTTTTCAATACTATTCATTATTTTTCCGTGGATCTGTCCACCTTTCAAGTCTAAAATGTCCAGAATAGTTCTTCCATATAGGTCTAAAAATGCAATAAAATTGGTTTCCTGCATTTTGTTATTTGCTTTATTTTCTGCTTCCATTTTAGACAATCCCTCTTTTCGATATTTTTTGAACTTTTCAGACCACGTATCCTCATTTTTAACCTTTGATCTTTTTTTCATTCTTTTGAAGTAGTCTTCTTCTGTTGATGCATTAGGAGAATCATCGTCATAGTCCATTGCGTATTCATCTGACTGAAAGATATGCTGCTTCTTTTTAAGTGGTTCCTCATAATCATCCAGAGGGAGTTGTCGTTTACGATTATCATTTTCCGGGCACCATCTCTTGACATGTCGTTGGAGGTCATGCGTACAATCAAATACGAGTCCACAATCATCACAAGATGCCATCATAGAACGCAAAGATGTATCAGTGGATTCAAAAGTCTGACTATTTACTTTACCAGAGCTATTTAGATGCGTCCTTTCTTCTTCGGAAAATCTTTGCAAATGACTTGTTGTTTCTGGTTTGTGTTCTTTTATAGGCATGTCTGTGAAAATTTCAGTGCGCATGCGCATTGATTCAGGCGTTGTCGGTTTTAAATCTATTAAAAGATATCCAAAGGGTTTTTCTGTTGCTTCTTTGAAATGCCTCATCAATTGTTGGGTATTTCCAGGATACATCTGTCGAGCCAATGTCATCACTTGTTGTTTGTCTATTGGATTTTTAAACAGAACGAGATAATGACAGTTTCGTCTTTGGGTTGGATCTTTGTTGTAGAACAAGTTTTGGTTAATAGCGATGACTGAAAGGTTTCTATGATGGCTTCCTTCAGTAAACAATTCATTGATCCGGGAATCCTTGGAGGTGCTTGACATCATATCATCTAAAATCAACACATTTCTTGTTTGAGGATTTAAAAAAGAATCCTCTTCCAAATCCATTGGTATTCCTCGAATGAATTCCACGCTGGGGAAAACCGTGTCCTTTATGACGTCATACAAAGGTTGCCACCGTTTATAAAGCCAAATTATCCGTTCTGGCGGGGGAGCAATTTTGGTTAGACAGTTTTGTAATAGTAATTTGACAAAGTATGTTTTTCCACATGAGGTTGGTCCCGATACGTTTGCAGTAAATGGATGTTTGAATTGAAAAATCTGCTGCTGCTGCTGCTGCTGCTTAAGATGTGTTTCCTGGTATTGTTTCTTTGAAGCGTCATTTATCTTTTGTTGCGTTAAAAAGGTTTCTTCTTGCAGTTGATTGTTTAAAGTGCTGTATAACTTTTGCTGCTGCTGCTGCTGCTGCTGCTGCTGCTGGGTTAACATTGTATATTCCTGCTGTTGGTTGAAACTTACGGTATATCCTTTATCTTTCCTCGGGTGTTTCAGTTTCAAGTGACGCTGTAAATCATGAGGCCACACGTAAGTTTTTGGGCAGAATTTACATTGATTCATGATGATCGACGCTGACTCCTCGACTACAGAACATCAAATGACCAGTCTCTCTCATGTCACTTCTTAAATACTCAAAGCCATTGCATTATGGGAAATTCTCCAATGTCCATGAGCTAATGTGTGAATTCCATCGTTCAATATATAACGTTTGTCATCAAAGGGGGAAAGAGATGTTTTGTTCAAGGCAATGGTAAGTATCTGATGTTTTTCTGATCTAAATGTAATCATGGTTTCCATGTGAGATTCTCTTTGAAATAAACATTCTTTGTACGACGAATGGCGCATTTTCGATCTAATCACCGATTTGCTGACACCTTTAGCTGTGCGTTTTTCACTTGGTCCATAGGTAAGACTATACATTTTTGGTCTCAAACCTACAAATTCTGTCATAGGCTCTGACATGGTTTCATCTTTCATTTTACCCAAGACCTTTTTGTTGGTGTCATCATATAGAAAATGATCACTTGGGTAATCGCTGAAATCAAAATGGTGCTTTACTTTCTCCAGATCCTTGTACAAGTCTTCTGTAAATATATTGTAACATAAGGAATCTGTGTCTGTGAACAGTAACTCCGCATTTCCTCCATATGTGTATTTGACATGGTTGTAGTGGAAATCGTACATCAGTACCTTTGACATTTCTAATATGGAAAATCCAACGTATATAGGGCGATTCAAGACAAGATTCTGTTTTGTAAGTTCCACCGATGCCAGATCTTTGTTGAATATCTTAAATGATTTGAACCCTGGTTTTGCTGTAACCTTAAGAAGCCTTTGCTCCCGGTGAATAAGCTGAATATCTACTCGTTTTCTGAGATTTTCCATTGTCTTTCCAAACACACTGTTATTCATTAATTTGTAGAAGTCTTTTTCAAAGTCATTCTTAGCTGCTTTTCGCATGTTTGTATTAAAGTCAATGTACTTTTTCAACCATGGCTCCTGTTGAAACGCAAGCACTTGATGAACTTTAGAGACCTTCATACCGAGTGATAAGTATAGCTGCAAATTCCTATAGTGAATTACGTAATCGGTTTTGTTGTGGAGATTCGGAACTAATTTTCGAGTTGATGTTTCAAGAAGATTCAGCTCTTTGAGTAGTTCTTTCTGGTAGGATGATAGCATATTTGGTTTCACTTCAAATGGTTCTGGTGCTAACGGATAATCACTGTGAAGGTCATGTAATTCTGCTGGATAATCAAGATCCACTGATAAAATGTAGCCTTCTTTAAAATCTTCACTGATATTTTGAATATCAAAAGAATTTATTTCCTCCTTGGAAAGCCATCGGAATCCGTGTGTTGGAAGAGCTTGACTCATTGACCATCCATATAAGTTGTTTGCATCTAGATACATGAGGTAATTGTTTGGTTGGCTATGATTGTAATCTTCTACATATGGATTGTTAGCTTTGGCGTATCTTTGTGATATCATAGAAATGCCTCCCCTCAGACCCCTTTCAATGAATAGATGCATGTCAGGGTCTGTAAAAAGTTCTAAATGAACGTCTGTCATTTTTAGAGCCGCTTGCCATGCCAGTCCCGGGGCAGTGTAAAAATGTGCTGGGTCTAGTCCATAAATACGAAGACAAAGATTTCTAAAGTTTTCAAATACATCGGCTAAAAGAATGACGTCAGTTTCCATATAGAGATCGTGATAGTCTCCTAAGTCGGACATCTCAAATGTTTTCCAAACAGACTGTGCATGATAAAAATCAGCTTCTGACAAATCCTGATCATCAATACTACTATGAAAAGCTGATCTCTCTGGAAGACATTTTTCTCGAAATTTATCTATACTATCCATGTACTCGTAGGGATACACCCCTTTGCGCATGAGTAAATTCATCTTTTCGTTAATTTGACCTGGATGCTGCTTTTCAATATAGTGATAAAGGTGCTTAAACTTCTCTACACCTTCCTTTGAAAGGTTTTTCACAAGTTTTTCTAGAGATGTTGACAGAAATTGAAAGGAATCAATGAAATCCAGTTTTCCCATTGAAAAAGATATGTACTTTTCATGGTTCTGTGGAATGCAGCTCAGTGTTTTGTTTTTCATTTTTCCAATTGCTTGCATGATTATGTGGGAGTCGTATCCCCTTAAATTGTGAAATAATACAGGTATGCGTTCCCGTTGTTTCAGGTTAAGGTTGCATGTATTATGTGCAGCACCTCGGAACTTCCCAGTTACGTGGCAATGGTCGCGAACACGATCTGCACCCAATTCTTGCATACATATATGGCATTTTTCAGCAGTTTGAAACAAGTTTTCATCGTTTGTTGACATCTCAAGAGGCAAAGGGTTCCGGAGAATTTTCATCAACCTTTCTTCCACTTGCACCATGTGGTCAACAAACGTTTCGGCAACATTCTCTCCTCGGTATGTCACGTGATCTTCCGTAAGATTGTCATCAGGTCCAACAATCTTATATGTAAACCCTGAAGGAGTGTGTTTTGCTAGCTTAGTTGTACTTGGCTTAGACAAGTTGGGTTGGCATGTTGAAATTTTGGAGGATATGCACTCAAAATCTGCATATATGACAAAACTAACTTTCTGTTGCTTGGAAACGTCAGAATAGCTCAGCCACTTATTTTCCTCTGAAGGCATTTCTATCCTTTGAGCTCCATGCACTTTGCAATAAGGTCTGTGCTTTTCCAACAGTTTTGCTTTTGTAAAGCCATGTAAACAATAGCAGCAGTAGAAATACTGGTTGCGATCGCTGTTTTGATCTGCTAGAAGTCGATTAAAGTTTTTAATCCAGCAGTAATGTGATCGTTGTCCGTTTGTTATCACTAAAAGATCTACGTGACGCTCGAAACGCTGCTTTGTCAAATGAATGGGATAAACATGTCCTTTTTCATAACCAAAAACATTGACAGATATGCCATTCTGGATTTCGAACTTAATAATGTCCTTCATCTGCATTGGAAATTCTATTCCAGTAAAGTCCAGTTCATCAACATATGGAACGTAATTTGAAACCCTTTGGGCATGGTGTGCTGCTGGGTGTAGCGCAGATAAGATAGCCCATTGGAAGCATTTCTGATCTGTATTTTGTACGTTCACAATGGCTTTTTTGACTCTCAGTCTGATTGGCAGTGGGATAAAACTTGATCCTCGTAAAGGTTTGTATTTAGCGACATTTAAGGTCAATCCTATAATTTTATCGAGTGTCCAATTGCTACCCTGTCTCTGATACTCTAAAAATGAAGTCATTATCTTTTTGATGCTATCTTGTAGGCTTTGTTCCAAATCAACGACTTTTAATGCAATATGACAACGTCCATGAAAATGAGGCTCCACCATTTCCGTCTGACCTTTCGTTTCCTTTTTGAATCGGACTTGCATTGTTAAATACCATTTGATACTTTGTCTTTTCAACAAGGCAGTCCTCAGAATTTTCTTAATTTTGTCAAAGTTGGAATGTAAGAATTGAAGGGGGTCAAATTTCGTCTTATTTAAAGCGGGTAAATTGTAAACCTTGAGATTTCCATTTATTGATTCTTCTTCTGTAATGCAATCATTGGTTTCATTGCTTGTAAGGCCTCCTCCAATTTGATTGTTTTCTTGAGGTTCTGTTGACATCTCAATGTCGTTCTCGTCTACTGAAATGTTTTGATTCTCAGCACCGGAATTTGGAACACGTGTCATTGGATGCTGTATTCTCATGTGGCGTTGAAAGTTATCTTTTCTTTTAAATTGCATGCCACAGGTAGTGCATTTGTGCCCAGAACTTTTATGAGCTGACCTTAAGTGGCGATACATATTTGATGAATGTGTAAATGATGCTCCACACACATTACATATGACAGACTTCATTGTAGACAGCTAATCTGAAAATAATTAAAATAAACAAGTAATTAACAGAAAATTTTGCATTAGGAGATATATATATATATATGTTTATATAATTTTATTTAGATAGTACTGAACTCTGATTAAGAAACCACAGTTTCAAGACCATTGCACGGCCATCAACATCCCTGTCACCAGGGACGGAGCTCCGCCCACCGAAGTAGGCTCACATGAACTTGAGTCGGACAGGTCTTCCCGATAATGACGGGGACATGTTACGTTAACGCTCTCCTGTCCGTTGTGAGCTAGTAACATCGCCCTATATCGGTACACCTTGTTCATGTGCAGCAATGTCTCAGAATTCATAATTTATTTCATATTGTTAATCATGTCTAAATTGCTTGTATTCATATTTTATTGTAATACTTAGACTAATTAGCGATGCCTCTTCAGTTGAATACAGTAAACCCTCTTTAAGGCTGTTTCTACAAATAAAAAAAAAGTCAAATAAATAACAATTTAATAGATTAAAATTAATTAAACTTTTTTCTGAGATAATCACAACCTAAAGAAAAACACATATCAGTATAATTAAAAAGTTTATCATTAATAACCACAACTTAGAAAAATCAATCTTAACATTTTCCATTAAAATACGATTAACTTTTATTTTAGATTATTCTTTAGAAAGAGTGACTTACCTGACCGTCTGGTCCACCACAAAGTGATGAATTTGATTATCATCGGTCTTTATATACCCGTTATACTGACTGTGAAAATTCTTTAATTTGATTGGATATTTAAAAAAAATGTTAACCCCAAAACTGATTTGATGCATTAGATGGTGATGACCGCTTCCGCGAGAAGACGCTTTTCCGGTGTCTCGCTTGAATTCTCTTGCTTCACGTTGCTATATACAGGGGTCATGGATAAGCGTGTATGTTTCTTTTGTGTGACACACATTTTATGAATATTAAGGACAATCATGAATAAAACTCTGTAACTTTAATTTGGATTAACCTTTTGACCGGTATGCCATGTCAAACTTATGAAATTTATGTCGAAAACTATTGACACATTGCTCATTTTACTTTTCATTTTCATTTTACTTTTCATTTATTGTCAATTTGTCACTGTTTTAAAATGATTGAAATGTTGTTAAGGGTTAAAGATCCGCTGTGAGGATTCTTGATCATTATAAAGTTCAAGTTCTGACACTGATGCAAACAGCTAGATAGTTTTACAAATAAAATGTCAAAATAAGCACGTTTAAAAAAACCAATATGGCGTCTAATTTTTGATTTTAAACCAGTTTAATCTTGTCCATAATGCTTGTCGTGACATGTTTACCTGTATTCTATAAATAGAAGTGGCGTTATTAACCAATACAACACACATTGCGTTCACCTGTGTTTCGCTTGACTGCAACTTGATCAAAACAATAAAATAAATGCATCGACCTTTTCTAATGTTTTGTTTAGTTTTATGTAAAATCCATATTACACAGCGACATTTTGATAAATAAATAAAACATTTCAATTTACCTCAAATACCCAAGTGATAAGAGGTCACAGTCAAGGTGGAGTCTACAGTCAGGGGGTAGTTCACAGCTAAGGTGGAGTCTACAGTCAGGGGGGGGGGGGTAGTCCACAGTCAAGAGGGGATATATGTATTTACTAATAATTGACACTTGGTTAACTTTTAATTGATGATTCATAATTAATTTTTTAATTAAATTCATAATTAATTTGTTAATTAAATTCATTAGATGACGTCATGGGTATCCTCACACGCTGGGAGGATACCAGGAGGATCCTCCATAGTAACTCTATGGGAGGACACTGGTCCAGAACCCTGGTTTTTCCCCTACTTATTTGTGTGTTTGTACGTTTGAAATCGATTCTTATGAGAAATATCTTTTTAAAATTAAAATATCATTCCTTTCTTCCATTTTTAAGAACAGTGAAAACACCATTCATCACATTTGTCAATTGAACCTCAAATCAACTTGTTGTTAATTGAAATTGAACCACAACAGTAGAAGTATCGTTTCTGAAAAATGTGCAGAAATAGACAGACGCACCAACAAAAGATATTTTATATTGCACAGGGTATAACCATATTTACCAATGGACATGATAATCAGTGCCTATTCTCAAAAAGGGAATGTACAAATTTATTATAGATCATTTAAAATTGGAAACCTTTGCCTGGTAGTTTTGAAATCCTACAATTCAGGTGTGAATACTTAACTTGAACTCTTTGACTCTTTTGACTGTCCTGTGGAACACTGTTATACTCCTCTAATTCATACCTGAAATAAGAACCTAATAAACATGTCAGGGAAGGCAAGAACCATTAAATATGTAAGGATGGACAAGAACCAGTTAAATATGTCAGGAGGAAACAACCAGTTAAATATGTCAGGGTTGGCAAGAACCAGACAAATATGTCATGGTAAACAGATAAGTATGTTAGGGTAGGCAAGAGCCAGGAAAAAATGTTATGATAGGCAACAACCAGTAAGATATATAAGGATAGGTAACAACCAGTAAGATATGTGAGGATAGGCAAGAGCCAGATAAGTATGTCGGGGTAGGCAAAAACTAGACAAATATTTCCAGGGTGGGCAAGGGCTACATAAGTATCTGTCAGAGTCAGCTACAAAATGCTAACAAGTTCTTTTCTTTTCTGGCTTAATTGTTTTTCTTCTACCTTAACATACTTATCGGTTCTTACCTATCCTGTTATACTCATCTGGTTCTTGCCAATCCTGACATATTTGTCTGGCTCTTGCTTATCTGGTTCTTACCTAATCTGACATGCTTATGTAGTTCTTGCCAACCCTGACATATTTGTCTGCTTCTTACCTACCCTGACAAACTTATATGGCCTTTCCTACACTGACATGCTTATCAGGGTAAGCAAAAAACAGATAAGTATGTCAGGGAAAGCTAGAGCCAGTTAAGTATATGTCAGTGTGGGCAAGAAACACAGAAGTATGTCACAGTAGGCAAGAACCAGATAATATGTCAGTGTGGGCAAGAACCACAGAAGTATATGTCAGAGAAGGCAACAACCAGATAAGAACTAGATAAGTATGTTAGTGTGGGCAAGAACCACAGAAGTATGTCAGAGTAGGCAAGAACTAGATAAGTATGTTAGTGTGGGCAAGAACCACATAAGTATGTCAGAGTAGGCAAGAACTAGATAAGTATGTTAGTGTGGACAAGAACCACACAAGTATGTCAGAGTAGGCAAGAACTAGATAAGTATGTTAGTGTGGGCAAGAACCACACAAGTATGTCAGAGTAGGCAAGAACAAGATAAGTATGTTAGTGTGGGCAAGAACCACACAAGTATGTCAGAGTAGGCAAGAACTAGATAAGTATGTTAGTGTGGGCAAGAACCACAGAAGTATGTCAGAGAAGACAAGAACCATATAAGTATGTTGGGGTCGGCAAGAACAAGTTAAGAATTTCAGGGTAGGCAAAAACAAAATAAGTACATGTTTGTCAAGCTATTCTAGAGCCAGATAAGAAAGTCATGGTAGGCAAGAAGCAGAAAAATATGTCAGGATAGGCAAGAACCAGAAAAGTATGCCAGAGTAGACAAGAGCCAGATGAGTAGGCAAGAATCAGACAAATATTGCAGAGTAGGCAAGAACCAGAGAGGTTTGTCAGGATAGACAAGAACCAGATAAGCAAGGTAGGCAAGATGTAGATAAGTATGTCAGGGTGGGCAAAACCAGTAAGAATTTCAGGGTACCAGGCAAGAACCAATAAGTATAAGTCAGAGTAAGCAAAAACTTGATTAGCATTTCAAAAAAAGGCAAGAACTTGTTAGCATTTTTTAGGTGATAAACATGTCCTAGATATGAAAGCACCTGATTAGAATGTTCTAGATATGAAAGCAGATTAGAATGTTCTAAGATATAAAAAGTACCTGATTAGAATTTTCTGGATACGCAAGCACCTGATAAGAAAGCCAGGGTAGGCAAGAACCTGATTGGCATATATGTTCTAATTATCAAAACGTGATTAACATGTTCTAGACATAAGCTAAGCATATTTTAGTCAGGCAAAAATCTGATAAGCTTGTTCTAGGTAAACAAGAGCCTATGTAAGCAAGCACCTGAAAAGGCAAGCACCTGATTAATATTTTATAGATAGACAAGCACCTGATTAGTATTTTATAGATAGACAAGCACCTGATTAGTATTTTATAGATAGACAAGCACCTGACAAGCACCTGATTAGTATTTTATAGATAGACAAGCACCAGATTAGTATTTTATAGATAGACAAGCACCTGATTAGTATTAGGTAGACAAGCACCAGATTACTATTTTATAGATAGACAAGCACCTGACTAGCATCTGGACTACCATTTAGCAATTGTATGAGTTAGATTCTTAATGTATGCAAAATAATTTGTTGACTAAGAAAGTTTTAAGATTCCATATATTGTCGTAACAACTGCTGTCTTCCAGTGAGTTGGCAGATGATTTTTCTAGATATAATCTCTTTACTTTCATAAAATAAATAAGTACTAACAAATTAAACCAAGATCTACTGGAATAGGTCATTCATAACTATGAGAACTATATTTATAATTTTCAATGATTTTCTTTCTTCGATAGAACAAACTGAAATTTCCCTTTAGTGGCCTTAATTTGATACAAGTTTTGTGAGTTCTGCGTATGGATCAGAAGACTTTTTTTTTTATTTTTGGTCTCACACATAAGACAAAGCCATGTCTAGACAATTATGAATTGTCTAATTCAAGAAAGATGAACTGCTTATGATTTTAAATTTACTGTCAAGAGATTTTGTTACATCATTTACTACCGCTGATTGTCGAATTTCACAAAT